TGACAATTGCGGACACCTGGATGGTGGCCAGTATGAGGAACAGCCACTGCCACGAGTTGTAGCCGCATATTAACCGCAACTATCATTAAAATAAAATAATATTTAATTAAAATCTCATGAATTTCGTCCAAAAAACACTGACTTTCATTTTGTATGAAAACTTGACTAAATTTAATGAATACTTTTATTCATAAAAATTTTAGACATAAATATTGATTTGATTTTCACTTTTTTTTAAAGAAAGCATTCATTGATTTAGTTGACAAGCATTGGAGTCGTCTATGAGGTCTGCAAATCTCGTGACACCAAAGCTTATCATATATTTGGTGCGGTTGTGGACTGACCTGTCTTTGGGGTCGGAATTCGTGCGAAATATTGTCAAAATCAACGGAAGAGTCACTGCCGAAGAAACCACAAGACATTCTTCAGACACACCCACACTATATTCAATATAACCACAGATTTTGACACTTATTTTTCACTTTTTAAATCATTATTTTGATGGAAATCATGAATGTATTGCTATGTGAATAATAAATATATACAACACATTATGTTATTTCACAGTAAATGACTCGATATGCTATATTCAGTAATAGAAACGTTCAAATAGTTATTGTATTTTATGATATCTAAAAGTGGGATTCACTTCATTCACTGGTGAACTGATAGTCTATCAAAAGTATAAGTGTGTTATCAGAACAGGCATTGATTTGTTTATAGACTTAAACCAATTAATTTCAAACTAATTGCCGCCAATTTCACTCAAGTCTTACTTTGCAATAGATTTAAATTCTTTATAACTTGCAAATGATTCACAAAACTATTTGTTTGAACAGTAAGTGAGTGAGAGAGAGACCTATCAATTAGAAATATTGTAGTAACATGAGTATAAATAAGTATTGATAATGTAAAATGTGTTCATAAATTCAAGTAATTGCCATACCGTAATTTGAATATCAAAAATACATTGTAGTTTATTATAAAGAGTGTAATCAAGTTTACAAATAATCGTTAATTAGCACAAATGTCAATTTAATTTTGATTTAATTTTATAAAAGTTAAATTTGATTAAAAAACTCCCTTCAGATAAAACAACTTTTTAAAACATCATAAAGTTAAAAGCTTCTGGATTAAAATTTCTAATCATTTGTTATGAGATAATAACAATAACACAGTATGTGATCAAAAATGATAGTTTAAACGTATTGTAAATTGAAATAAATAGTGATTTGTCTTCACATCTTCGAGCACTCGGCCACCGAAAGATTGGTGCCTTCGATGGCAAAGAATCTGCTGTTGAATCGGTCTCTGATTGGCACGGATTGCGACAATTGGTCCACAATTTGGCCGAAAATTATTGGTTCCGTATTTAGGGACACCTTTAAGACCGCAAAACACACAACAAAATCATTGAATCAAAAGTAAGTTTTAAAAACAATTTGTGTCTCAAAACGCATACCAAATACAGTATAAACCAATCGCCGACCTGAAGATCGCACACCATTTGCTTGCGTTTGCATTGATTATCGCCGGCGATGGCCGACGAGTCCATACGACACCTGAGCTGATAGTATCGCATCAGTGGCCACGACAACAGTATGAAGCGGTGAACCATCAGCAGTGCGGTGACGGCCACCAGAAAGTAGAGCCAAAACCAGATGAAGAGGTAGATCTTCTGGTTGTAGATATTGATGGACAGCACACACATGGCATCGATCCGCTCCGGTCCTCCAGAAGAGCCGTACGAAATGTATCGACATTTGCTGAGTATCGGGAAGTTCTGGACAGAGTTAAGACAATTAGTAGTTTAAGACACAAAACACATCTTTAAAATGGCATCAATTACTCTCTCCATGGGGTCGGCAGTGATTTTAGGATCCGATTTGGTCCACCAGTCCACCAGTATATCCCTGCCATACGTGGCGTACCGTTCGTCCAGAAAAGCATTGTTGGCCACGATTTGTATGATGGCGTTGAAGAGGGCCAGCGCTTCGCACGCGAAGTACTTGATGGCGAACCAGTCGTGTCGGCCGCGACTTTCCTTCAGATAGTGGACAATGAGAGCGATCTTCTGGTCCTTCGCCGTGTCGTCGAAGTAATTGAGATCCGATGAGACGAGTGACGAGATTTTGTTGCCTTCGCAGCACTTCCAGAGCCAGTGCGGGATATAAAAGCATATCGACTGCAACAGTAAGACACACCACACCCACTGATAGTAGGGATGGTTAGTGGGGGCGATGCGGTCGCTGTCGGCGCCGATACTGCGGTGCAGATGTGGATCAGTTCGCGATGTCTTTTGGTCGGTGGCGTCGAAGACGGTGTATGTGTAGTGTATGTAACAGAAAGTGTTGATAATCTTGGCGTCGATGGCGCCCCGACTGGTCTCGCAGACGATGGGTTCGCCCAACAGTTGTTTGGATGAGTTGATGATACAGAAGGACAGGAGGATAATGACGGTCAGCATGTAGTGCAGGCGGAAGACCAGGCCATCGATGTGCACGTGTCTTATGCGCCACAGTTTGGACAGTGATGTGAATAGAGAGATCATGTCTGGTGTGGGATCTGTTGGGTGAATGGGTTAGTGGATGAGTGAGTGGTAAGTGGCGGTGATATACAATACTTGTGCCGATGGTTACTGAAACGGATCCAATGCTAAGCGATCTGTTGGATGAATGGGTTAATGGATGAATGAGTGGTAAGTGGCAGTGATTTGGTGGTGATATACATGTGATGAGTGTCACCGAAACGGATCCAATGTTCAGTGATTGGTGTCACACGTGTTGACCCATAGTATAGCTGTAAAAGTTGTTACAGTTTTTGGGTTTTTTGGGATAAATCTGGTATTGAATGCAATGTTAAAAAGTTTTTGAGTCATATTTATAATGAAATTGATGTGAATTTTTATTGAGAAATCCATTTCCACTATAAGTTGAAAACGTAAAGCTATTCATTAAATCTATGATAAGTTTTATAATTTTAAAAATTTATTTATTCATTAAATGCATAAATAAATTTATTTATTTGTTAATTAAACAGTAATTCAATGGGAAAGGGAGGCGCGACTTGTTAGTGCAATATTTCTCATCGCTGACACTGAACTGTAAACTTATCTCAAAAGTACAAGAATTTCAAGAAACCTCTCAAATGAATGTAATTTAATACAGATTCACGACAATTATAGTGCAATGAATCGCGAGCTATATACACGAGAATTACACGAATTTGATTTCTATTTCAAAATTATTTTACTTACGCTTAGAATTCACTTTCTGTTAAATTCTTGCCATTACTTGCGTTTGTGTCCACTATTTATCACCAAAAGTTGATTGAATTTAATCTAATTTTTATATTACATGCGATTAAAGTTAATTAAAAGTTAATCACTCATCAAAAAGTCTAATATTTTGCAAACCGATGGCCTTTTGCCGCCAATTGTCGGCCCTTTTGCGGAAGGATTGGATAATCCGTGTCCGCAATCCAATCGCCACAGTCTTCGAACTGTTCCCGGCTGTCCTTCTGGCCCTTATGCTCGCATATCACACACGCGATGAGCGCTATCCATACCTGACCACCGATGGTACCGAAGCCGCAGATATGAGCCGATTGAGCTCAGGGAAGTCATGGCGCAGTTATCCCTTCAACTTAGCCAAACCCATTGAAGGTGTGTCTCAGATATACTTCACACCAAACAACGCATTCACAGGCGATCTGATGAACACATTGAAGACAATCAGCGGTTGGGATGTCGTTCCCGTCGAGAATGCCATGAAATTAAGGGAAATAGTGAAACAATCCAATACTACGGGAAATTATAGCAATTGGCGTAAGGAATCGATAGGTATTATATTCGATGGTTCCGATTACAAAGAGCACCGGGACTTCAAGTATACACTGGTGGCAGAGAGCGATGAGGCAGAGACGGCTATGGATATAGAGAACGAAAGGGACGACTATTTCGGAAGAATGCACCGACGCTTCCCGTCCCTATACGACGATTCCATCGTTAAATGGGTGCAAACGGTGGTGAACGAGGCCTTCCTCACCAAAGTGGCCAAAGATAACGGTGCGAATCGTCCCGCCATTGGGCGACTGAACTTCCATACGTTTCCACTGCCACGAGAACTGTACAACTTAAGCGCTAAAGACCTCGATTACCCCAGGGGACGATTTTCTCAGCGGGTGTCGAGGGGTGACTTCATTTCGATGACCATTGTGTTGGGATATATCGTGTTGTGTCCGTTGATTGTCCGGCGGGTGACGAACGAGAAGTCCAATAAAGTCAAAGAACTGATGCGAATGATGGGAATGTCTGAGTGGATCTTCTGGACCTCCCATTTCATCAATTATCTCATTGTCATGTCATTGCATGCGTTCGTGTTTGTGATGATCTACTGCTATGGCTTACCATTGCTGGGATGGGAGGGCAGAGCGCTGCTCGACCTCCAGAATCCCGTCTTATTCTTCGTAATTATAATGATTTACTGCATTCAGACGATTCTGTTTTGTATGGCATTCACCACAGTATTCAATCACTCGGTTCTGGCGGTCATAGTGATGGTCATCGCTTATATCATTGTCTACGGCGTCGGTATGTTTTACTTGAGTCCGATGTACTCACAACGAGAGTATGACTCAAACAATATGAGGCTTTTGTCGTCAATATACCCGAGTTATGCGATCACATGGTCTGTGGGTTTGTTGGCCCGTTGGGAATGGTGTGCCGTAACCGTCGGTTTCGCGCAACTCTTCGCAAACACGCCATTCATTCAATTAAGATTAGGCGAAGTACTGGCCGTACAGATACTGTCGTGCTTTTTGTGGGCACTTGTGATCTGGTATTTGGACGCCGTTTGGCCCTTTCAGGACGGAGTGCCCCAATCCCTGTGCTTCCCGTGTCAGCCCTCCTATTATTGTCCGCATAAGTCCGTCAAGAATAGCGAATCGACGGCCAGTTCTGCGAAAAATGAAAACTTTGAAACTCAACCGAAAGACAGCAAAGTTATGATATCTTTGAGAAAGATATCAAAAGATTTCGGTGGCGGACGAGGGGTTAAAGACATGTCTTTAGATATCTTCAGCCAACAAATTACTGTTTTGTTGGGACATAACGGCGCCGGAAAGACCACTACAATGAATATGATAACCGGTATATTCCCTCCCAGTTCGGGAACAGTACTCGTCAACGGTTATGATGTGATGACTGCCATCCGAGAGGCCAGAAAGAGCATTGGTTTGTGTCCACAGGTTTGTACGGTTTACAAGAATAATGAATCCTTTGATAACTATTTTCGTATTTTTTTAGGAGAATATTCTCTTCAATGACTTGACTGTTGCACAACATCTCAGACTTTATGCCGTTTTGAAAGACTTCCCGAGCGATCAGATAAAGCCGGAGATCGAGAGAGTGTTGTCTATAATCCGATTGAACGACAAAAAGGATTGGAAGAGTAAATCACTTTCTGGAGGAATGAAACGGAAACTGAGTTTAGGAATCGCTATAATCGGCGGAACAGAAGTCCTGATACTGGATGAGCCGACCTCTGGTATGGACCCCGAGGCGCGCAGAGCTATTTGGGATGTCTTACAAGATGTGAGACGACAGAAGACTATACTATTGACCACTCATTACATGGAAGAGGCGGATGTACTGACCATTAGTTTTCATGACTTGAATGTAATCTTCAATTAATTTCTTTATTCTGTGTTTCAGGTATTGGGCGACAGAATAGCCATTATGTCTGAAGGTGTCCTCAAATGCTGCGGATCTCCTATGTATTTGAAGAAGCGATTTGGTGCCGGATATCACCTGAGAATCTCAAAGTCAGACAATTATAAGAAGGAAGCGGTCGATGAGATACTCAAAAGACATTTACCCGACAGTCGTCTTCAGAGCGAAATCAATACAGAAATCATTTATTCACTCGAATCGGAGAACACATCCAAACAAACCGATAAAAATGTTTTCCCGAAACTGTTTGACGAACTCGAGAGTCGGAAACAGGCGATCGGTTTACAATCGTTTGGCATAACTGTGACCACAATGGAAGACGTGTTCTTGAAGGTGGGATCCAATGTAGAGGTCGACCACAAGTCAACGAACGCCGCGAATAATAAAAAGCCAAATGAATACCAGAATATTACAGGACTTCCACTGATTGTACAATCAGTTTATGGCTTATAGGTCCTCCAGAAGAGCCGTACGAAATGTATCGACATTTGCTGAGTATCGGGAAGTTCTGGACAGAGTTAAGACAATTAGTAGTTTAAGACACAAAACACATCTTTAAAATGGCATCAATTACTCTCTGCATGGGGTCGCCAATGATTTTAGGATCCGATTTGGCCCACCAGTCCACCAGTACATCCCTGCCATACGTGGCGTACCGTTCGTCCAGAAACGCATTGTTGGCCACGATTTGTATGATGGCGTTGAAGAGGGCCAGCGCTTCGCACGCGAAGTACTTGATGGCGAACCAGTCGTGTCGGCCGCGACTGTCCGTCAGATAGCGGACAATAAGAGCGATCTTCTGGTCCTTCGCCGTGTCGTCGAAGTAATTGAGATCCGATGAGACGAGTGACGAGATTTTGTTGCCTTCGCAGCACTTCCAGAGCCAGTGCGGGAGATAAAAGCATATCGACTGCAACAGTAAGACACACCACACCCACTGATAGTAGGGATGGTTAGTGGGGGCGATGCGGTCGCTGTCGGCGCCAATACTGCGGTGCAGATGTGGATCAGTTCGCGATGTCTTTTGGTCGGTGGCGTCGAAGACGGTGTACGTGTAGTGTATGTAACAGAAAGTGTTGATAATCTTGGCGTCGATGGCGCCCCGACCGGTCTCGCAGACGATGGGTTCGCCCAACAGTTGTTTGGATGAGTTGATGATACAGAAGGACAGGAGGATAATGACGGTCAGCATGTAGTGCAGGCGGAAGACCAGGCCATCGATGTGCACGTGTCTTATGCGCCACAGTTTGGACAGTGATGTGAATAAAGAGATCATGTCTGGTGTGGGATCTGTTGGGTGAATGGGTTAGTGGATGAGTGAATGGTAAGTGGCGGTGATATACCATACTTGTGCCGATGGTTAATGAAACGGATCCAATGCTAAGCGATCTGTTGAATGGGTTAATGGATGAGTGAGTGAAGAGTGGCAGTGATTTGGTGATGATATACATGCGATGAGTGTCACTGAAACGGATCCAATGTTCAGTGATTGGTGTGACACGTGTTGACCCCTAGTATAGGCTCTACAAGTTGTTACAGTTTTTGGGTTTTTTGGGATAAATCTGGTATTGAATGCAATGTTAAAAGTTTTTGAGTCATATTTATAATGAAATTCATGTGAATTTTTATTGAGAAATCTATTTCCACTATAAGTTGAAAACGTAAAGCTATTCATTAAATCTATGACAAGTTTTATAATTTTAAAAATATATTTATTCATTAAATGCATAAATAAATCAATTTATTTGTTAATTAAACAGTAATTCAATGGGAAAGGGAGGCACCACTTGTTAGTGCAATATTTCTCATCGCTGGCACTCAACTGTAAACTTATCTCAAAGTACAAGAATTTCAAAAAACCTCTCAAATGAATGTAATTTTATACAAATTCACGACAATTATAGTGCAATGAATCGCGAGCTATATTCACGAGAATTACATGAATTTGATTTCTATTTCAAAATTATTTTACTTACGCTTAGAATTCACTTTCTGTTAAATTCTTGCCATTACTTGCGTTTGTGTCCACTAGTTATCACCAAAAGTCGATTGAATTTAATCTAATTTTTATATTACTTGCGATTAAAGTTAGTTAAAAGTTAATCACTCATCAAAAGGTCTAATATTTTGCAAACCGATGGCCTTTTGCCGCCAATTGTCGGCCCTTTTGCGGAAGGATTGGATAATCCGTGTCCGCAATCCAATCACCACACTCTTCGAGCTGTTCCCGGCTGTCCTTCTGGCCCTTATGCTCGCATATCACACACGCGATGAGCGCTATCCATACCTGACCACCGATGGTACCGAAGCCATGGTACCATCATTGCACTCATTGAACTCAGGGAAGTCATGGCGCAGTGATCCTATCAACTTAGCCAACAAACCCATTGAAGGTGTATCTCAGATATACTTCACACCAAACAACGCATTCACAGGCGATCTGATGAACACATTGAAGACAATCAGCGGTTGGGATGTCGTTCCCATCGAGAATGCCATGAAATTAAGGGAAATAGTGAAACAATCCAATACTACGGGAAATTATAGCGATTTGCGTAAGGAATCGATAGGCATTATATTCGATGCTTCCGATCACAAAGAGCACCGGGACTTCAAGTATACACTGATGGCAGAGAGCAAGGAGAAGGAGACGGCTATGGATATAGAGAACGAAAGGGACGACTATTTCGGACAAATGCACCAACACTTCCCGTCCCTATACGACGATTCCATCGTTAAATGGGTGCAAACGGTGGTGAACGAGGCCTTCCTCACCAAAGTGGCCAAAGATAACGGTACGAATCGTCCCGCCATTGGGCGACTGAACTTCCATACGTTTCCACTGCCACGAGAACTGTACAACTTAAGCAATAAAGACCTCGCTTACCCCAGGGGACGATTTTCTCAGCGGGTGTCGAGGGGTGACTTCATTTCGATGACCATTGTGTTGGGATATATCGTGTTGTGTCCGTTGATTGTCCGGCGGGTGACGAACGAGAAGTCCAATAAA